GAGAGAAAGAGTAAAATTGTTCAGCTCAGTCCTACAATGCTGTATACACTGTAAAAAGTTCTTCAGTGATGTAGTTCATATTACTTTATTTTACGAAGCATATCTGCTCCAATAATCAATCATTTCAATTTCTTTTTGCTTTTGTGAAAGTTGCAGATAAGTACTAATTGTCAATATTTAAGTGACTTATAATTTTATGTCCTAAAATTGATTTAACAAACTCAATTTTTGAGCATTTACCGAAGCTAAAACTTTCTGAAGCGTCCACATACTGCAGCACAAACTTGTCCGGACATAGTTCAAACACTGGCGCCTTCAGTAATTAACCGTTTTCATTGCTCAAAATTAGGTTTTAGCCGAATGGACATGAGTGTGCTGCAATATTTAATCCTAACTTTAATGCAGAAGCATGGCTTGTTCTTTCCCACTATGTTTGCCAGTATTATCGGCCACAAGGTCCATAACATCGCTTAATGCGCTGTAGTGCAAAACAGCTAACCTTACAAAGCTTATTTCTTTTGACTAATGCAGTTTCTACTTTATATTGTCTACAAATGTTGTCTTCATGATCGTTTTCTTGTGGGATTAGAATTATTTTATTCTGCTACTGTTATTTAGTTTTTACTGCTACTGTCGTAATTCCAGCGAGCAGACACGTGCGTGGGGCGAATGCTAACATGCTAGCTAATCATTATCAGCACTATTTGTAGTCCCTGTTCGATTCTGTACGGATGGCCATACAGAATCAAATTCTAGGGTTTGTGAAACACCATTTTTGGAGCTCCAGATATTCGTTAGTGCAGCTAATGTTAGTGGTGCGTGGTGACCGGAGGCCTGAACCCAGATCATCTCTCCTAAATCGCTGGGGCCGCAGAACGGCTGAACACACTCACACACTCACACACTCACACACCTATTACTTGTTGCTGTTATGGCAACGTAAATTACTTAACAGCAGGTAAAAACAGCTATCGTATACAATAGACATGATAGGTAGTGTGGTCTCTATAGACCTTGTTTTTTTTGGGGGGGAAATATTCTAATACTTTGAGATACTGGATGTCAGATTTGTATGACCAATAATCATTAAAATGTACTCAAAAACAGGCTTGAAGTATTTTAATTTCCATCTAATGAACATATAATATATAAAAGTGTGTCATTATTAACAAATTATTAAACTAATGAACTTTTCACAATATTATTATTTATTGAGATGCACGAGTAGATTTTTAATATATAAATATTTTTTGATCAGTTGGTTCTTTGCATTGAAATCCCTTTTGATGTTTTTGTTGCTCCTTCAGAAGACCTTTGGATCAGAGAAATTCAACCCAGAATCTCTGTGTCAACATCAGGTACAGCAGTTTAAATCCTTAAGTAAATCGACCAGACACAGTGTAATATGTTGACCTGCAAAAGAACAGATATATTTTTATTATATCCCAAAACATAAAACCACACTCAAAACTCAAAACTACTCAAACATGGAGTTTCTTTTCCAAATGACAGTAAGTTTAGTTTTTGTTTTGTTGGTTTGGTTTGGTTTTTATTTATTTATTTATTATTTCAACAAATCAGACATTTCATCCTAATTGTGTTCTATTTGTATGTCATACAGGGAACATCCATTCCATCCATCCATTATCTATACACCGCTTAATCCTCACTAGGGTCGTGGGGGGCTGGAGCCTATCCCAGCTGACTCAGGGTGAAGGCAGGGGACACCCTGGACAGGTCGCCAGTCTATCACAGGGCTACACTTCGAGACAGACAACCAAGCACACTCACATTCAATCACACCTACAATTTAGAATCACCAATTAACCTTAACATGTTTTGGACTGTGGGAGGAAGCTGCGGAACCTGGAGAGAACCCACACTGCACGGGGGAGAACATGCAAACTCCATGCAGAAAAATCCCAGGTGTCCTCACCGGGACAGGAACCAGGGATCTTCTAGCTGCGAGCCGACGGCACTAACCACCGAGCCACCTTGCAGCCGTACAGGGAACAGCAGAGAGAAATATACATGAGGAACTGAAAACTCAAAGTGTGAGAATCTACACTCGCCAGGAGCAAGACGTTGCTGGTATTATCATCAAGGGTGTCCCACTGTTTACTGGTCTTGTGATGCCGGCGTGCATGGACGCAGCGGCCCCTTCAGGAGACAGTGACAGCGAACGTTTAGTGTCTTATCCCAGATGTGCATTCCGTAAAACTTTCAGGTTAAATAATCCTGTAGAAACACTCTCTCATCTTGCCTGTACTACTGTGTATGTACAGCAAAATGACAATAAACCTGATTTGATTTTGATTTGAAACTCTAGCAAGACCATGCTGCTTACTCCTCATATTAACATATGCTCTAAATCTGGAGTATCCACCTAAACTCTCAGACATTTGAGGTCTTCCAAAGGCTTTTTGTTGGACCAGACTTGCTGTGCCTAAAGCCAACAGTCAAATTCTTGACACTCAAAAACAAGCTTCTTGTCTAAGCTGGTCTACCCATAAACAGTTTGAGTTCCTGTTCAAAAATGTCATACTTGGATGTCTAGACTTATTGACATTTCAAAGAGAGCTGTGGAGCTCAATGGACATTTTGGTAATTGTCCTTGTAGGCAGGTGTAGGTGGAGTTTCTGACAAATGTTTTCACTGTGAAGGTTTTATCAGCTGCAGGTCAGAATTTGTATTCTGTAAATTGTTGAAATGTTCTAATATGCATCTTAAAATCAAAAACTTTGTTTTGTTGTCATGCCCTTGGGCATATTTACATATGCTAAAATATTCAGGTGTTCTATTCAGCACTTTAAGATCAAGTCACAGGTCACTCTGATCTATTTTAGTTTTAAAAAGAAAATTGTTTGTAAACAGTTAAGAACTGTGAAGTTGCAGAAAATGCATTTGATAAATAAATGTTGGACAGAAATACCTCTCTTTCTTAAATGTAACAGACTTTATTAGTTATTTCTTACTAATTTTATAAAGTAATTTAGACTTTCAAAACATGCAAAATAATTTTGATTTAAAATCAATAAGACTGAGTGCATGAATTCGTCCAAATCAATTTCTTAAATATACATAGAAATCTTTACTTTGTTTAATTAAGTATGCTGCAGTTAACAACTGACTGTTTTTAAGTTAGTTAAACTAAATTCTTTGGCTTTTCTTCAAGGCGACACTAAACATTTTTAACACAGTACAATACACATTCTTGAGTTTTCGTAAATGAAAAAAGCAAGAGGTTCACTAAACTACTAAAAAGTGGCTGGAAAATGGTGCCTCTTTTTGTCTTTCTTTTTTTTTTTAGCTTTTTACAGTGTATACAGCTGATGTTGATACAATGTCGACTCAAAAATGATCTCTCCTTTCACTGTTTGAGGAGCAAATGCCTGACACTGTGGTTCTCTAAACACACTGTGATTACATACCGAAGGCTATGTAGTGAAACAAACCCAAGATGTTACCGTTCTTTAACATGCTGACCTTACAGCTCTACAGCTTGGTTGCCTTCCGATAAAACACAGTTCTAAGATCTTGTGTCATAACATCTAAAAAAATAATTTTTCCAGTTTTAACACTGCTTTACTTATTATTGACAACCTCTGGAATAGTGCTATGGCCAAGTCTATTAAATTAATCAATTAACTGTCAATAATAGTTAATTAAAATAATCACAGTGAATTTTTTCAATAACATTTTATAAATATGCAATAATCATGGCAGATTTTTGTGATCCTAGGGTGTTTTTTTTTGTAGACTACACTGAGCTGAACAGTGTGTTTATCTTAAATCACTCCTCCCGGTGCTGTGAGGGGCGAGGCCTGTACAGTGTAGGCCTTAATTGCAGCACCACCATGTGGTTGATCAGACTCATAGTTCTTAGAACGCATTTGAACATTGGACCAGGTTTCATGTTTCTAGCTCATTTAAGATCATGGCAATTTAAAACCCACTTAAAAAATGTAAATAATAATAAAATTGCTAATAGTAAAAAATAAAATCCGTTCTGTGACAATATAACCTCAGTAATGTAACAATAACAATGAAACTATGTATCAAATAGGATTCTGCCCCCAAATAAATATTAATATAACAAAAAAAACATTGTGTTTTTATTGAGGTTCATAAAATGAATACTGTAACTCACTTGTCTGTATATGTTTTGACAAACATACAGATGATTTGTTTTTCACTTTCAGTCTACACTCTTAACTGCATGGTTGGCATTACAGCCAGCAGATATAAGATCAACATGAACATATTACACACTGATCTGAATATTGGTCTGTGGAGATTCTCAGACACACTGCTCAAGGCTTCTTCAGTTCTACCTCAATACTAAAGTGACACATCCTCAAAAGCTATAAAGAGAAGTCCAGTCACACTTTGCTGAAGCTCCTTGGAGTCATGTGTACATAAATAACTATTCACAATGACAAAACAAAAATGAAACTTCCACATCATCGGCAACGAGGTCAAACAGAACTAGGACTGTCTCACATGACCATGGCCCCCTGACTGTTTCATCATAGCAGATCAGACCTTGAAATAAAAAAATAACTAATATTGATTCAATCGGTTTCTTTTCAATATTGAAAAAAAAAAAGAAAATAAATGTCTGCAATGATTTAATATTAATTAGCCTTAAACATTCAGCCTCAACAAAAAGAATGAGTCTGATAGAATTTCAACATTACATCAATGCCACCTTGATATAATTCATGGCACAGCTGCTTTGTATCTACATCTAAAATATGAAATATGTCAGATGATCATTGTTACAATGCAACACTAATTTAAGCCCAAAACTTATGTCAGTTCAGGTAAATCTGAAGGGGTGACATGGGTCAGGTAAAAACACCGACATGGCTCTGGCTCATTTTCTCCCACCTCAGCCACCTTTCCAGTAAGAGCTTGGTAAAGCACCCAGATATTCAAAAAAAGCTTGGACAGGAAAAAAAAAAAACAGTTTTACGTGAAACTAAAAAAAAACATGCTCACCACCTCATCCACAAAGTTTTTCTTCCACAGCAAGATGAAACTAGAATGCAAAATAAACTTGGTGTCACTTGACAAAAGGACAGATACATGAGGTGGGTCATTTTCCCCACTGGCTCGTCTTATCAATGCTCCCCTATATGAAGGTCTGGAGCTCCCACTTTGATGTACGGTTATTTTACTGTAATTATTATAAGATTAACTGACAAAAAATGTGGAAATACTCCAAAACTGGAATAGTAGCAACTCTACTTAATACCTAGACATGGATGTTAATTCCAAAAAATGTACTTACAGAACATGAAAATGATCTAAGAAAACCAATAAATGTAATTTAGAAACAAGTTGTGGGAGAAGAAGTCAGGTTTAAAGGACCTTTTTTACATTGTTATTATCCTATTGCAATACAAGGTGGAGCTGTAAGGGACATTGGAGAAACAAGGCCCGGTAGTGGAACACAACACAGGAGAGGTAGCTTTGGTAGGATGCAGCTGGGAGATGCATTTATCATTGTCCCAACAAGCAAGTCATAATTTAACAAGTTAAAAAAACAAACAAAAAAAAAGCAAACCTTTTTAATAACTGTTAACCAGCCCCGATTTGCAAATTTGAATAATCTAATTAGAATCTGTATTTATTTAACTGAGCTGTATTCCAATAAATGTGAATGAACTTGTCTGGTTCAGGAGATATTGTGCAAAATATATAATTCGGAGTTTTAACTCCATTTCTGAAAATGTTCAGAAATTGTACATGCTTTAACAAATAACATGAACATATGACTCATATGACACACAATCCGAGATTTACACATGGTGTGGGTTACTGTATGGCGAAATACAGTGCAAAGCACAATGTTTGGTGTTCTGACAGAAAACAAACAAACAAACAAGAATTTGAAGGTTTCTCAAACATTTTATTTGTACAGAAACCAAACAATCAACCAAGCAGTAAGGATCACACAGTCAGGTAACGGGACAGCTCAAGGACAGATGGACTGCCCTGCAGCTTCACTGGGGACAGAAAGCAAAGCTCCAGAGCTTCAAAACAACCCAAACACTGGAAACTGGAAACAAAAACTTACATGGGATTAGTTGTAGTGATTAGGAAGTGTCTGCTTTAAAACTACAACAAAAAGAACAAAACCCTCATTTAATGCAATAATGTGGAGAAAAGGCAAGTTCACAGAAATACTTCAAAAGGCTTCATCAGTTCATGCTCTGTCCATCTGAGAGCAAAGTTTGGTCAGAGTTTTCATCTTAAACAGTTTCAGTCATAGGTGAAGGAGACGGGTTGTTGGTTGCAAAATAGAAAATATAGAAACAAACACTGTCACCCAGTTTACACCACTACACTGTCACATTAGAGCAAAACCCAGTGAAACCAACAGATCATCTCAATGCTCTTCTTTGATGCAGAAGGAGCTTAACAGCAGTGAACACAGACTTTATTGCAAAAACCCATCATTCATTTGGACTGCTGCCTTCAGGTTCATTTGATGTGTGAACAGTAGAGTGCTTTGACTTGCATTAGCAGTTTGTCTAATGTTCTACCAATTTAACTCATTTGTTACAAACCAGGTCTGCTTAACTTAGTCCTGATCATTTTCCAATACAAATAGGTAAATACCTATTCCTGAATTCTCTCACAAGAGTTGGCAAAGTCCATTTGTGAAGCAGTGGCGGCGTGGTTCACAGGATAACTGACGCTCTGTCTGCAAGAAGACTGTAGGATAAATGGTACTGTGGTGCTACACACACTAAATAAGAGCACAGAAAGGAGAATAACCAAAATACTGCAGTATTCATCATTCTAAGTGTGGACGCATCATATTATTACATATTATCTATATGATTGTTTATTTACGAATTAAACACCTCCTGACATGAACTTTATCTCCACTGTTGCTTAATTTGTCTAAGAAAAACATGTCTGAGCAGCTCAAAAAACCTGACCAAAAATATGTTCAAATGTTAATTGTATTGAACATAAACACACATGTTTGATAAGTCCCTTGAATTTGGTGGTGAAAGAACTGTGAGCAAAACATGCAGTGACATGATCCAGAGTAAAAATAAACCTGTCAGTGCTCACTGGTGGACATGCTATGTAATGGAGACACTGTGTTGAAGTGACCTCATATCTTTGACATTTCTCTACTGAAAGATACAGTGACACTTACGGTACGTGTCCACATGGGCATTTTTAATTGTGAGGGGTCACACTGCTTCCCAGCATTGGATGTGAAAAGATGACTGTCAGGTGATCTCCAACAGGAAACCAATACAGGCTATATCCTCCTATAACTGCCAAACATTGACTGCACCTGACTGGATGACGCTTCACTTGTATGTTGTCTGCTTCCTGATTTCAGAATAAGCAACATGGTAAATAGGAATAGTTGGGGTTAAGTTTCTGGCCCAATGACACTTTGGTACCATGGGGGGGCTGAGAATCGAACCACTGACTATACAATTTGTGGACAACTGCTCTACCACCTTAGACATTGAGTCTAAACTGGAAATGTTTACGGATATTACATGAACAGTTCACCAAACTGTGTTCCTAAAAACATTTAGGGAGAGAAATAAGTAACGCAGTTGCTTAATCAATCAGTCATTAGATAATTTTACATCAACAGTTGGTTCATAAGTTTTGGGGTGTTTCCAGGGGTGGTGAGTTGCACTGGATGGGCCTGGACTTTATGCAAAATAAATATTTTATCTGAATGATATAAATACATTATATAAAACAGAATATTTTGCTAGCAATGCAATTTAAAACTCGATAAAACATGCAAAAATTTTTCTGTACAGATTTGCTGATGTACTGTCACTTTACTGGGGAAAACAAGCTTCAACTTGTTAGCCTGCATGGCTCTATGGCCATCAGTTTCAGTACCAGATATGCTATCATTACTATCATTACACAAGTTATGAACAGAGGCCAATGCAGTCAGGAGGATGGTAGAGTTGCATCAGAAATGTTTGGACGGGAGCCAGCATGGGCACTCTGATTTACAGCGACACAGCAAGCTGTGGTGCTCTGTATGTTGCGACACCTTTCTATCACAGCCAGCATTAGGTTTTTCAGTAGTTTGTGCTTCAGTAGCTCTTCTGGTGCGATCATGAGCCTGGAGCCTTGGGCATCCATGACCTGTGGTCCATGCTGTGGTCAGTTTGCCTGCTGTCCCTCATTGGAACATTTGGTAGATACTAACCACTGCACACCAGGAGCAGCTCACAAATGCTACCATGCCTTCCAACAGACCACCTTTAAGAACTGACTGTTCACGTCCTGTCTAATACATTGCACTCACTGACAGGTGTCATTGTAATGAGATAGCCACCTGTCAACAACTTTGATATATCTTAAAATGCAGTGTTGCCTGTGGACAAACGTCTCATATTTTCATGCTCTGCTGACCTGCTCTGCACTGACTGGAGGACTCTATGCATTACACTAGCAGTTATCTGCAATTAACTGACTGAAAGTGTATCAACTAAACTTTAAACTTGTCCCTGAATTATTGTCACGCTACACGGGTCTTTATAGGAATGGTTGATTACACTCAGTACTCCACTGGTCAAGGAAACAGAAGGACTGCAGCCAAAATGAGTGTGGGTCTCTGGATTTTATTCAAAGAATACACACAAACACAACACCCTCCATTGATTATGAGTGGGCCACTTGTGTTTGATACCAGTGTATGAGTGCTCCAGGTCTGTATAGTTCCACACAAAACTAATTTAATGTTGCAACCAGTCGACTTTACATCAGTTCTGCAGTAAAACCTGCTGTATATGATACCACCTGCCACACCAATCAACCCCTGCCTCTACGATTAGTCTGACCCACAAAGCAAGTCCAATAAAAGGGGGAAATACTGATTGTACAAAACATTTGGCACAAGTTTATTAATCAATTTTAACTTAACACAAACTAATCTCACTTTGCCAAGAATTTCAGTGCAGATATAAAAAAACATGCATACTAAATATACTGTGAGAAAAGGTTGTCCTCTGTGGATTTTGTCTCTGATTTTCTGCAGAAAAAAAGAGCACAACAGTATCATGTGCTTTGAGCTCCCGAGGATTAACCTTCTGTGAGCCCAGCATAAATTACAAATGTCCAACAACATATGATGACTAGCTTCCTTGAATTTTTTTTTAAACTTATAAGACACACATCAGCACTCACACACAACATTATCTAATGATAGATTAGCTGCTTTCCCACAAAAACACAACAAAAGCAGAGGATATGGGCACTGGAAGGACTGATCCACAATACAGTAGATAAAAACAAGGTGAAAGGTCAGACTTGTGTCAAACTGATTTCGCAAAAATCTAGTGGTTACATCAGTTAGTTCTAGAAAAATAGATTTTCTTTAACCTTGTAATAATTTTCATTTAACTTACAAGCACGTTCAGTGGCAGTCTTTCTAGTGCCTGTGTTGGCAGCACACAGGACATATGGGAAACAACAAAACAAACACAACCTCCTGGGTAATCAATGTCAAACACGAGGTCAAATGTGAAATTTGAAGCATCAGAGAAGCGCAGAAGACAAGAACTGGACGATGAACTGTGACGCCACATCAACATGCTAGGGCAAACAGGAAGAGATCTAGAAAAAACAAAAAAGAAAAACACAACAGGGAGACAAACCTGGGTTAAACAGCAATGGAACACAGACAGGAGAGAGAAAAGAATGATCATCTTTGTGTGGAGTAGATTACAGTCTAAACATTCAACAGTGTCAGGGACAGAGTAAGGACAATCCACATGCTACTGAGAACTGAGGTGGATGACAACAACACCAACACACACATGACAGCCTAAATAAAATGCACAGAATCAGTGACAGCATGCAGGTCACAACAGGCCTCCAGGGGTCTGGAAAAGCAGCTGTAGCCTAGTACGATATCTACATACAGCTCATCACATATGGAGGCTGGAGGGTGCCCCTGGAATAATAATAGTTTTTATCCTGTTATAATCAGTAACTGGCCTTTAAATTAGACTAATAATAAGTTTTACATAGCGCTTTTTTTAAAAAACTCAGATGCTTTACAAAAAACATACAAACAGGAACACAGTGGACAGAGGACAATGGACAATGAAGTATCGTAGTGTGATGGTAGAGAGTGTGGTCAAGGAGGAAATGCCAGCGTGAACAGGTGGGTCTTGAGCTGTGATTTGAAGATCTAGAGAGAGTCCGATCGTTTAATGTGCTGAGGGAGGGAGCTCCATTATTTATTTCTATTATTCCACTATTAGGGTAAAAATGCAAACTATTTGACATACCACTTCATCTGCTTTAAAATGACTACATTTATCAGTGGAACTCTAAGGTGATTTTGAAAATACCATAGCATCAATTTGGCACGTTTTATCTTGTTTAGTACAAATCACATGCTAGTGCAGTGCCATTTTAAAATGTTTGGAACTGGTCGACTGTGGTGTGCACCATGAGAGTGATGGAAGTCATTAGTTGTAGGGAGTGGACATATGGCATTATGTAGACTGATAATACAGTGAACAACTGTAGTGAGTACAATATTATTTAAATGATTCTAAATTGTATCACATCACAGTCATTATATTAGGATAAATTAAACTGTAGGTAATTGTTCTTTTGTAGAAATTAAAATCTAACAGTTTAGATTTACTATATTAAAAATGCTATGATCTGCATGCGTGTGGAAAAGAAATGCCAGAGAACCTGAAAAATTTGACTGTGAGACTTCACAAATATGGACAAGTACAGAGGAAGATCAGTGACCAGCTAAAATCAGTTGTAACACAGTGGCAGCAGTAATGAGCCATAGTACCACTACTTATAGCCTCGGTGGCCATCCTCATTAAGATATACTGAAGTGCCAAGTGCTTCAGACTTGGTACACAGGTTATCAGTGGAAATTGGCATTACTACGACAGGTCAGACAGTGTGAGGGACATTACATAACATCAACCTTTGTGGACAGTGTGCAAGAAAAAAAAAGCCTTGCTTGCTGTTCAGCACAAAGCTGCAAGAGGGAACTTTGCTAAAGAACATGAAAAGAGGCCTGATGAATATTGGGAGCAGATTGTTTGGTCAGATGAGACCAAGACAAATTAGTACTGCTCAGATGGGTCGAGCATGTTTGGCATGAACTGGGCCTGGACTTCCACAGTGAATGCATAGTCCTGACAGCAAAGCACAGAGGTGGGATAATATGGGGCTGCATTCGTGTAAACGATGTTGGGAAGAAGACATTTAGAGATGGCACTAGACTCCCAGTCAGAGGAGTCAGAAGCTTGGCAGAGGAGTATCTCAGCATGACAACCATCTACAGCATACTATCAAAAGCACACAAGAGTTTCTAAGGAAGAACAAAGTGACATTCTAAGTGTGCCACCTGACTTGAATCTAATAGAACACCTTAAGGGTATTTTAAAGAGAAATGGCAATGCAACACCTTAGGCAAAGAGCAAGTGAAAAAGAAGATCACCTCTCCTGAAATTTGTGAAACAGTGGTATCCTCCATGCTGAGGAAGATTGAGTGTACAATCAGAAACAAAGGGAGGCAGATGAAGTGCTAAAGAAAAAAAAATCTGGAAGGTGATAAGGTGTTTTATATAATTTGACATTTAAGTGATGGTACTGAACAGGGGTGCAATGTCCAGCTAGCAGACAGCCATAGACAAACGAGGGAAGTCAGACAGTAACTTAGTTATTTTTGGTTTATTTATTCTATTTTTTGGCACAGGCCATTAAAATATATCTCCCTCAATTAAAAACATGCAGCCAGTGTGCCACAGTAAAAACTAAGCAAAGTCCAGCCCACAGAGAACTACTGGACTCTGTCACAGGCCAAACATTCACCACTGTCCTCTCATGTGCAAGATTTTAAGGCAGACATCTCCCATTTCAGGCAGGCTTCATATGGAGGTAGGTACTTCAAAAGATAAGATCATCTAACCAGAGACAAAAACTGAAAGTGAATTTAGGCCATCCTCATTACCTTGCAAACTGTACCACCACAATGTTCCCCTCAAACAACGCGTTAACAGTGGTATACCTAGCCAGGTTTCTTGATTACTAACAGTCAGTTATGATGCTTCACATCAAGGCATACCAGGTCCACAGTAGGTTCAAGTTAAATCGATCAATGTAACACTCCTTTACGGTCCACACTGTATTCAGACTCTGTGCTTCAAGACACTCAGTTTGAAATAAAATAACGGATATTACACTGAAATGCCAAGTCTCCACTATAATTTGTTTAGCACTGTCATCCTGCTGAAAATTTTGATGCCTTTTAATGCATTTAGCTAAATGAGCTCAGAATACACGTCTCTGTATTCATTTTGCTGATTCCAGCAGCAATGTGGATAATGAAATTTATGCCACATGTGCCCTTGTGGACTCGTACGCTGACAGCAGGAACTGACCTTCGTAACAACGATCTTCACACACAAGCTTAAGATTCACTTTTAAGTTAACACAAACTAAATCTCACTTTGCCAAGAATTTCAGTGCAAACATTCATATTACATAATTATACTGTGAGAAAAGGGTTTCCTCTGGATTTCATAACTGATTTCATGTCTGGCTTTCAGCAAATTCAAATCTTTTCCTCCAAATCCTGCAGTGACCATGACCTTCCTGTTATCGAACTATTAAACAGTTGGACCTCAGTTGGTTTTCACTGTGCATACAGGTTGCTTTTCTTTTGTCTGTGATGAAAGTGTGTGTGTATGTGAGTGTGTTCTCATAGATGAGAGCTGGATCAGCTATGAGCCTGAAATAAAGATTTTGTGAGAGATGCTTTTCTAACAATAGGTAAACGGGACTATATCACACAAAACATGGAGACCTTCAACTGCTTTGATAGTAAAGACCTTGAAACAAGGACAAACTGTCTGAGCATCCTAGATGTACTCACAGAATTGCACTATGACTGTCCCACCACTGAATACTCAATCTTTGGACTTGAATCTAGAATTAATTTTAAAACTATTTCTAGTCCTAGAAATGTGGCCAGTACTTTATCTGTTTTATTCATTCATATATAAAAGATAAAATCAGCAGACACATGCTGAAATTGACTTTTAGAATAAGCTAGCTGGAAAACGAGAGAATTGTTCAGATGAAGGTATGTAAGAAATAGAGTTTGGAGTGGCACTGATGCATCCTACATACACAAGTCATGCCACACTGACAAGTAGAACACAACAACACAAGGGAACAACACTTAACAGGCAGGAAAAAGACACACACCAGGAGATCAAATGCAGTTGCAGACTTCACATTTGTCTTTCCAAGTAATTTCAATTGTGATAAATAATTTAGGCAATAAATAGCTCCCCAACACACAGGGGAAGTATAAAACCTATATAAAAATAGAAAAGGCATTACAGTTTAAATATAAATCTCAACATTCTCTTGCTTCCTAGTTCTGTATAAAAAAAACATGATTTCCTGGAAGTCTAAACAGCTACCAGGTTTGTCTTGAGCAATTTATATGCCCTTTGCAATAACAAAAGATATTCAGTGAGAGACATAATGGTGTAGCCCTCTATTGATGATCTGCTAACCAGCAGGAAAGTAGTGAGGGTTGTTGATGAATTTTTACAAAACACCTGGATTCAGAGTAGAAACAAACTAAAACCATAAAACGTATTTATAAAAAGCATTACATCTGCATTAGACAGATTCGTGGGTGAGTGGAATAAGAATACGAAGTTTGGTTTCATTGCCTAAGTTCACCATACTGCTAGCTGCAGACGACAGTTGGGCTTCATCAGCCCGCATCAGCCTGACTGTCACTCAGGAAACATCTATATTTACATGCAATTCCAACTGCATTAAAAACTAATCTCCAGATAAGGAAAAGCACAATAAAATGCAATAAGTTCATTGATTGACTGAAGTATAATATCCACGTCTTACAGAAAACAATTCTAGCCAATGATTGTTTACTCCACAAACCAAATGCAAATGTGTTTCCACCCACCTGAGGCCACTTCAATTATGTAAGCCATGCAACGGCTGCTACAGGTCAAATACAATCAAGCATTATTGTGACATCATTAGATGTACCTCGGAAACAGGTGACAGTCCTGTCAGACCAAAGGAGAACGGATAACAGACACAACCATCTGTACACAACAGCTCCTCTTTCCCTATCACTGAGGTGATGGGAGGTTGTGGTTTAAACCTCAGTGACTTTAGCTCAGTTGAAACAGCAGAGAACAGAAACGTTGTTCACGGCATGCACGGGCTTCTTCCTGACTGTCACAGGAGTCACTTGCTAGTCCCTCAAAACAGTAACCGCCCCCCCCCAAAAAAAACAAAAAAACAAAAACACACACACACACACACAGTTTACAAACACAAAATATGTTTCAGTACCATCTGCATATATTGCGGAGATACTCCTTTTGAACAATCTAAGCTTCTTTGCCTTTCCTTGCCTTCATAACTAATCACTATGCAATTAATACAAAGACCCAGTTCAAACGTAGGTAAAAACACACATTTAGTTTGTGAAGATGTTTTTAAAAGCTTTCTGCTGAGTTTGGGCGGTGGAGGGGAAAGTGAACAGAGAGCAACATGGATTTGGCACCTGATGGGCAATGTGCAACATCTCTTAACAATCAACTCAAATGTATATAATCGATCACAGCAAACTGACAATATTTTAACTTAAATAAAACACACCTGCTTCTCTTATTTGTTAAAAGGAAAACAAAGTACATAAACCACAAAAGAACACAGGGAGAATCCAGTCTATCCTGAAAACTCTTGCATGTAGCTCCATGTGTCTGTTTGTCTGGACTTGATGAATGAGCAGCAGTGCAGTGTAGTAGCCCTGTAATGCACAGATACGTTTCTGAGTGCACCAGTCCTAGCTGGTTATTCATACTCCACTTACCAGAACACCACCCTGCCTAACTAAGTCTGCAGTGCCTGAGCACCTTCAGTAGGGCTTGCTGTCATTCTTTGAGCGCTTCAGCTGCACCTTCAGCCTTTTCATACCGATCTGGAAACCATTCATTGACTGGATGGCTGCCTGTGATGACACTGGGTTGTCATAGCTCACAAAGCCTGCAGAGAAAAATACAAAGGCTCTGGATAGTTTAAAGCAGTTTACAATGGTCTCTCAAGGAATTTGCAATAGCAACAACAAGAATGAATGAAAATCCAACTAATCCCCACATCCCTCCCAATCATCCCAACGAGGAGGACAAAGGAAGTGATCACATTTGAAAGACTTCTTAAAGTAACAAAATAATGAATAACCACTCCTCTGGTTGCAAAAATAAATTTGATTGTATAGTCTACGAGAACATTAGTCTACTTCACTGTTCATGTTTTACCTCAGTACGTGTTTTGTTCTGACTGTATTGCAAGTATCAAGACTGTATTAATACATCATGATATTTACTTGGTAAATGATGGTCCCATTTAGAGGAAAGCAAAAGATAAAACAGGGCATGTTCTTTAAAATTATTATTATTATTTTTTTTTTCTGGCCTTTTTGCCTTTATTAGTTAGGACAGTGAGAGAGAGCGACAGGAAAGGGGGGAAAAGAGAGAGGGAGGACCTACAGCAAAGGAGTTGAACTCATGACCACTGGTTGGGGAACTACAGCCCCTGTGGGTCAGGTGAGCTAACAGGGCATGTTTTAGGGCAGTGCTACCTTGTGACTGGCAAGTCACTACCATATCAGTGTGTATAGTGTCCTCTGGTTCTTAATCAGAGTTTCAAAAAAGCAAGATGGCAACAGCCCAGTGCCAACCTTAGCGCCACACAACGCTAGTCCACAAACCGATAGGTTTGACATTTAGACAGAATATATGTCTGAAGTGGAGTCGAGGGTCTTTTGTAATGAGTTTGTCCTGGTCAGGGACATTACAACCCAGAGAGCACATGAGGCTCATTTGTCACCTCCACACACATTTCACTTGTCTGCCAGGTTTCAGAGGTGGGTACTAATGAATTACATTTACTCTGTAGCATGTACTTGAGTGCTTTATTTTTAATTAATTGGGCCTTCATGCACAGACTGTGTAGAGGGTGGTCTGTTGATACTACCCTATTATATCGCAGCCATGTCCTCGCATGACTCTGTTCCCTGCAGAGTAAAGCCCAACACTACAGCAGGAGACTTAGAGGACATGGTTTCCTTTCTGTTTTTGAAACAGTGCTGACAACTCATATTAACAGAGCACAGTGCAGAGTACAGTGAGAGAATGAGTTAACACTGGGCTGAGGTCATCAGACATCAGAGAATGGTGCTGACATTAACCTGACAAACTTATTCTTGACCTTACACTCTTGTTTGGCTAAGAAATGTTTTAACACATCTGGTACTGTTATGTATATTACACTACCATTGAATAAACGGAATATGAAATACTGCTTTTACAATTACCCCTTATGTCTGGATTACTTTACCTGCTCTGTGTCTTGGTTTATAGCAACCCCATTTCTTTTTAACACTTCAAATAGCTATAAAGGACCGATTACACTTAAACAATGAAGTCTTTCACCAGCCAAATTCTGACTGCAGCTCTCACTTTACAAAAAAACAACAACAAAGTTATTAATGCCTCAGATTGACTTAATTTCATCAATGAGGGTAATATTCTACAAAATTTTGGTCACAGTATATTTGCAAAAGAGGCCATTTGTATATGTAATCTTAAAACTTATCTGGAAATCATGTTAATTAGTCTCGTTTCCAAACAAGGATGTCAGACATACCAAATGTGCAACACAAACATCAAATATAATACTACAGATTTACCTATAATGTAAATGTGATGCCTGATTTCTCTACCAACTACAAACATTTCTTGTCTGCATCCAATAAAAGAAGTTGATATGCTTTCCTTAGCTAAGTTATTCCCTACTCAAACATTTTTTTTTCCAGCAGCAACTTTACAAGTAGTTATTGGAATGATTACTTTAACTTGTTTTTACAAAGCAACTACTTTTTCTTGTTGTGGCTGTTCTACCCACCTCTGCCAGGTTAAGTGAATGCAGTGTAAAGATGCTATAAAAATATGTGCTCTAACCAGTCAGATCTATGGTACAATAGCTCTGAAACAGCTGAGCCGATCACAGTAAGTCATGACAATAGTTCAGTGGAGATAAAGCAGCAGGATACTGTATAATCATGTGTATTCGAGAACTGATAGAGAGATACTTGTTTACAAATGTTCCACAATTATTTTTAAAATGCCAATGGAAATATCTCTACCAGTTGAGAGGGGTTTAATTAAACTGGGGAGCTGTTTAAACACTTTATTGTTCATAAAAAGGCTTATACACGTCGTTTTGCAGGAACTTACCAAAACATTTGCTGAGGTTTGTTTGTTTGTCAATGAAAACTTTTGCAGAGATGACATTTCCAAAAGGCATAAACATCTGGAGCAGGTCCTGGTCTCCAAACTCCTGAGGCAAGTGGTAAATGAACAGGTTCGCGCCTTCTGGACCTGCACATCAATGAGGAGGTTTCACCAACCGTACAAGCATTAAACACAGTGATTTTTGAACAATTTCTCAAAATTAATGTCTTCACAATGTGGTTTCTTACATTTTCAGCAAATTACTTATTATTAGTAAATGTACTATACTGATCCCTAAGAGCTCATGTAGTCAAAAGAAAATCTGGGTTTGATGAACCAAATGGTTTAATCGATTGATGCAGATTGGTAAACTGAGCGCACAGATTGCCAAACTGTTTCAGCCAGGAATAATAGTTGTTTTGACATTGCTTTTTGTGTTTTATGAGCAGACCTCTGCAGCTCTGTTAAATGCAGTTTCATCGGCAGTACTTGCTTCCTACTCTGCCAGTCTCACAGCCTAGTTGCTGCTACCACCTGTGTTCATTATGTCTGACTATGTCAATATCATAAAACTATTCAATCAAAACATTTTTTTTCTGCAGCACAGCAGCTTGGTAATGACTGCTGGCCAATACAGTGCTTCAAAGCTGCAATCAAACTTTATTCTCTTTTTGAGAAAAGAAACAGAAAATTTAGAATATAATTGAAAAAGGAGAACCACTGCAGAGTGAATGCCATCCATTATTACTGACTGTAAGTGCTGACACATAGCAGGAGACTGAACAGAAGCTTAGTGGGTCATCTCCCTCCCTCCTTCCTTCGTTACACATAAAAGCCGTCTGAAAAAAATAAATGCATCACTTAAAAACAATTTAAAGCAATTCTAGGTAAGTAATTCTACTGAGCATTTTAGGTCTAGACTCGATCCCATTCGTCTACCCATGGGTGGTAGTTTTGATTAACATGTCCATATTAGACCTGAGCGATCTTTTCTTAACAGGCTACATATTGTAGACTATAGGTTGGTGTAATTAAATGTGTACTTCAAAAATCTACTCTTGATTCAGGTATTTTAGGCAGCTATAGCACTATATCCAGCCTGTGTTTATTTCTAAAGCCTTGCAATGACTGTTTCATCGTTGATGTGATGAAACCCATTTTACCACTGTGGCCTGCCATTAGCATCTCTCTCCTGTCGTTTGTCGTAGATTTCTTCTTGTTCAAATTGTGGTTCTAAATCCTGAATTGAATTTGAAATTGAAGTCATTTATAAAAACAAGCTTTTCTTTACATTTGTGTTCAGTTACAAGACCTGGTGCACATCGCCCAATAAGTGACCTGAGGCAGGGCAGAGGTCGCACAGGTCAGTCTGTGCTCACAGTTTGCCAATGCAGATTTTCACAATATGTTTATTTTTTGTCAGTCAAATGACCTATGTATACACTGTCTGAGAAATATAACTAACATCAACACACAGACAAGGACTCTTTTATGGACTTGAGCTTGTTTTAAAGTGAAGCTGCTGACTTGATGATCTGATACCATGTCAGAGAGAAGGTGATGACATCTTACCAGTGCCGCATCTGCTGCTGGCTGATGCAGCAAATTTAAAACAAGACAGAATCCTTAGCAGGTGAGTTAAAACATAGCACACACACCATTGCCAACCTGCTAACATTTGTAGACACAATGATATACAAATCTGTCTATTTGGCTTGTCACAGCAACATAACTCTGCAGTTGGTTACAAGTTTAGTTCAGAGCAGCATTTTTTATTGATATCGGAAGGTTTTAATAAAAACAGCTCTGAAAATGAAGACACATCTGAAGTTACTGGTGATGAAGAACTAGTTGCCATTCATGACTCAGTAGTTTCAAAAGAAATTTGGACTGAGTAGGTAATCTCATACAATATATCATACATACAATATATACCTCAACTGCTTTGCCTCAGCTCATGCAATTTATAAATCTACAGGTAGCTCTCCAGGCAAAGTTTCCAGGTTTTACAGCTATACATTTGTATAAAAATAACTAAACTAATATATGTAAAATAATAATATTTTTTTTAGTTTGTTCTTGTGAATAACATACCCTAAAAAGGCTACAAACAATATGATTTAAATACATGTCTTAGTCTAACTCTAAACCCATGCGTTAAAATGGGGTGCAATGAAGTATCACAAAATACTGTGGAATGTCCCATCATCTGACATGGTTTTGGTCGATAGAAGTAAAAACTGGATGAGGCTGAATTGAAGAAAGAAACACTTTAAAACATGCTCACACAATAGTTTGGCATTCTGGTTTTCAATAGGTGATCATACATTCATCTCTGTACAAGAGTTTTCCTCCAGTAATGTGTCTATCACCAGCACTGCTTGCTTCACAGCCACTAAAACTCCTAAATTATCTGTAGTTTGTACCACCCCCATGTCATCTCTGGTTTTCTCCTACTAGCCTATAGAACCCACCTTCTTTTTGGCTGCCTGCAGCTGAGACGTTCTGCTGGGACAAAAGGCTCTGGTTGTACAGGCTGGGAAGGGCAGCAGCAGCATACTGCTGGATGCCTGAGTAGGCCTGGCTCAGTGCCTCCATTGTATTTCCTGAGCCATTAGACAGACCTCCAGAGCTAAGGCTGCCGTTTAGCGCTGCCATTCCTGCATCAGTTATAAGGAAACACAAAAAGTAAATTCTTATCATTCAGTTCTTATGACTCGATATTGAGTTCAGCATGACAACAGAAAATACAACCAGCAGTGTCAGTGTCACAGTGTTTGAAGCCTCTGTCTGATAAACGGCCATTTGTGAAAAATATTAATAAACTTTATTCATATAATATCAAGCCACTCAAACATACTCACAGTAAAATAAATAAAATAACTCAGAAAACTCCTCAAGGTATACAATGCAATAACTTCAAACATAGTACTTGAGCCTACATACCAGACAGGCATCAAGGCCAATTCATTGCTTTCTGTGTATTTGCAAGGGTATATGTGGCGTAAACTTTGTCATTCATCCAAGTCTGTGAGGGTCCACTTGGATCCCTCTGCAGATATCTGCATGCAGCCCACTGTTGACCACCAAGGGAACAAATGGTGCTTCAAACAAATGCTTGTTTGAGTAGACACTGTTGAAAGAGATTCTCTAGCCACCTCTTTTCAGTCATTCTTAGGTGTTTTATTTGAAAAAGTCACTGCTGGACTATGGACGTGCTCACATTTGTCCATGCAGTCCATCGATGATGCCAAACACAGTACAAGAAAAACTTTACTATGTCCACCCACTGAGCTCACCATACCTCAGGAATAATCACTGACATGGTACTACACACCAATCTGTAACTAACTGTTATACACTGTAAAAAGTACAAGTCACAGCCTTTTAGTAAAATCCAGTGGTGCCCTGTGTGTTTTTCTGTGGTTGATATGAGGGGCAATGCAAGCACTTGCATAGCAGACTGACACGTACCTATTGTAGTATGAATAGAATCACGTGCCTATCTGCAGAAACCATGAAGTGTCCTCTACACAGTCACTGGGATTTATTTCACTCCAGCAAGTGTACATTAAGCCCCTGCAACTCAGCAATACACTGTGGAAAATCTAATCCAAATCAGTGGAAGCAGTGATCACTATGAACACCTAGATTACAATCATGCTGAAAGACATGCACACAGAGAGGCACTTCTTTGGTTTTCATAATAGTAAGCTCTTGCTGTTGTACAGGCGGCGAACAACTATTAGACACCAAGAAAATCTCATCTGCTCTGCAAACCTTGAGAACAAAGATCAGTGGAATGGTAAGTTTGTGCACATAACAAGTGCAGGTCTGGCTTGGGGTTCTTACCTGCCAGGGATCCCATGTTTAGGCCAGCTCCAGCACTAGCAGCCAGAGACTGCAGAGCCCCCAAAGAAGCCATGTGGTTCACTGAGGAGTTGCTGCTGGAGGTGGGGGAGGAGCCTGCTTGGGGGACATTTACTGTCATAAGTAGGGATGCAGAATTTACAACACCAATCAAAAATTTGGACATAAAACTGTGTTACAAGTCGATGTGTTGTGAGCTTAGTAGTATTTTAACACTATTTTTGACTTCACAAAAAAACCAGGAAAAAAAAAAGCAATTTATGCTATAAATGTAAGATAGACAATCTAAGAAAAACTAGAGTTTGCAGGATTAATACTTGAAGATATTATATGACATATTATATTTGGATTAACATGAATGATACTACACCACTAAGCACTACTTTGAGTATCTTATTCAGCGCTGTGGTTAAAAATGTTCACCTGAACTTGTTAGTGCACTTAGTGGGCTGCTTGACGTCGTCATGGCGCTGGAGCCTGTAGGCGTGGCCTGCGTGGCACTTGCTGCTGCTGCTAAAGCCGCCAGGTTCTGCATGGCATTAAGACCTGACAGACACAAGCACAGTCAAGTTGAAGACTCCTCTCACCCCTTCTTCTGACACAACTAAATAAAAACAGTACATAAGGACATTTTCTTTACTGGACTTTGCGCCCTATACTAATGTGAGGCTGGACTGAACTTTCTCAGCACACAGAGAGAGGTGATTCCAAAAACAAAGAACACGACTGAGATCATCACGCAGCAAACAATGCATCTACATGTTCAAACTTTCATCTTTGATGAATACGTTTCTTTGATATTTCATGTGCAGAGAATTCACATGTGTGTGTACCTGAGACAGGGTGCAGGTTGTTGAGTGCATTCCCTGTGGAGGCTGACTGCTGCAGCAACTGTAAGTAGAGCTACAGACAGAAAAATGGGAGAATGGCAAAGCTTAAACTGATGGCATTACTCTGTCAGTAGGCTAATTGTTATAATTTGGACAAACACACAGATAATCAAGAAACAGACACTTACCGCAAGGTACTGTGGCCCAAGATTGTTGAGCCCAGTGAGATTTCCCCACATGGAAGCAGCACTAAGTTGTTGCATCTGCTGCTGCAGCTGTTGGGCCATGCGCTTCTGCTCCTTGTCCTTCTGAGTGTCTGCAAACTTCACCACAATGGGCGATGAACAGCCCTAAACACAGACACAAGACTTCAGTGCACTTTAACAGCTATATTTGACAGTTTATGTACTAATATAGAGGCTTGTTAGCATCATTAAATTGAACCTTGAAGATAGTTTACAAAGCTGTTGCTTTGAAGGATGACAAATTGGGTAATATTTCAGTGCTGGAAAAGAAACAATCAGTTTTTTCTGAAGTTAATGTCCCCAATAACATCACATTTTGTTTTTATTGTGAACCTCACCTCCATTGTCTGGGACTGGTGCATGGACTTGATTGCTGACTGAGCCATTTGTCTAGCTGTGAATGTCACAAATGCACAACCTAAAAGAGAGAATCACAATGTATCATACACAGCTTAATCTATACATATTCAGTGGAGGACATTTTGCATTATGTCACCATCTTAATAGTACTGTACTTTGTACTTGTTCCCTTTTCAATTTTCTCTCTATAAAACTCTGTACAGTGAAAGAGAGCAACCATGATATTGTTATCATGCTATCATTTGACAATGTTAGAAAAATACTGATTATAACTACTTTCACCCTCTAAAGTCCAAGCAGTTTCTCTGCATGTTTTGTTCCTATTACACTTTTATCCACTGTGGGCTCATTTTTTCATTAAAATAACCAAGAAGAACAGTGAAGAATATTTTTTATGACTGTGTATATACACATACATATACAGCCATAGAAAAAAATGATTAGATCATTCTCACTTTCTTCAATTTCTTGTTCATTTTAATGCCTGGTACCACTAAAGGTGCATTTGTTTGGACAAAGATAATGATAACAACAAAATAGCTCATAAGAGTTTAATTTAAGAACTGATATCTAGTCATTTTTGATGGTTTTCTTGATAATAACCAAAGTCACTTAAATTCTTACATCAATAGCTATGGCATTGTACTGCCAATGCTACAGTGCTTTTAGGCATTCCATGTTTTCCTTTCTGTCTGTTTTAGTCACATGATAAACACAGGAGTTAGTACTTGATTGCATAACCATTGTTTTTGATGACTGCAGCCATGCGTCTTGACATGTTCTCCACCAGCTTCTGACATTGTTCTGCTGTTACAGCAGCCCATTCCTGTTGCACAAATTCAAACAAATTTGCTTTGTTTTTGGGCTTGTGGTTCTCCATTTTGCGTTTGATGATTTTCCACAGGTTTTCAACTGGAAAACAATTGGATTTAGATCTGGTGATTGAGCAGGCCAAGGCATGGTTCCAATGTTCTGGTTCTCCGTCCAGGCTTTGACTGACCTTGCCGTGTGGCAAGGGGCATTGTCTTTTTGGAAAATGCAGTCATTTAAGGCAGGAAAGAGTTTTCCAGCTGATGGAAGAAGACTGTTTTCAAGAGTAGCCCTGTACATGACCTGGTTCATTCGCCCTTCACACAGCTGCATTTGCCCCGTTCCACCAATACTAAAACAACTCCAGATCGTCACTGATCCACCCCCATGTTTTACTGTAGGTGCAACACAGTTTGGTTTGTAGGCTTCTCCAGGCTTCCTCCTAACTAGTAAGTTGGCTGGAGTGGGCATCAACTGAAAATTGGATTCATCACTTCGAGAACCTTAGCCCAATCATCAACAGTCTAATCCTTGTGATCCCAGAAAAGAGCTTTCCTCTGTCTTTCACTGATGAAAGGCTTCTGCCATGCCCTGTGTGTCTTCAGACCAGCTTCAAGGAGTCGCTTTCCAACTGTCCGTGCCAAACAAGTCACATTTCTCGACACTGTGCACTCATTTTTAAGGTCCCTGGAGGTCTGATGATGATTCCTGACACAGGAACAGATGAGGGCACAGTCATCTCATGGGGTAGAAAGATGTTTTCTGCCGCGACCAGCCAGCAACTTGGTAGTACCATGTTGGGCTTGTTTTTTCTTGGTTTAATGAACGGCTGTCTTGGAGAGCTTCAGTTTTTTCGCTCCCTGTCTCTCACTCATACCAATTTCCAGCAGTGCCAAGACGGCTGCCTTTGTGGCTTCACATAATTCTTTTGTTTTAGGCATTCTGTGAGCACTGACAACTTCTGAGTTGGCAGGAAACCACTGTAGGCCTTTGCATATGCAGTGCTGCTTATAACATGAAATGGCCTCTTATATAACCTGGGAATACAATGAAGCTTAAGCATGTCAAATAGGACACAAACTATTATGTAATCAGATGCATTTTTTGTCGTGTTCATTGTATTCTTCAGGTAATATACCTTTAGTGGTACCAGGCATTAAAATGAACAAGAAATTGAAGAAAACAAGGTGGTCTAATCGTTTTTTCCATGACTGTATATATGGCAATTTGTGGCATTTACGCAGTCTATACAAAAAAGAGGTGAAAGCTGAATTTCTTTGAACACTTATTTTACAAAAACTGAAAAATAGAGACTTCTTGACTTCACAGTTGCACATAGGGGTGTAGACCTATTTTGACCAGATGATGTATTTTGGAATTTTTTTTTTTTTTTTTTTTAATTAGACATGAAAATGAGAACAAGTGGTTCTGATGAAACATCATAATAATAAGCTTAGATTTGGTTAGGTCACAGATGAGTAGTTCAAAGACCTTCACAAAATGTCATTATTTCACCTGGTTAAAGTCTCATCATCAACATGTCTTACCACGGCTGAGTCCATCAGGGCCTCGAAGTATCCGGCACTCCTCTATCTGTCCATATGATGAGAACATCAGTCGGATGTCATTCTCGTTACACTTCTTGGAGATCATTCCAATAAACAGCTTCCTGTCCTCCACTGCTGTATTCAACACAACACAGCATTAAACAGACCTGCATTATGGCTACACAGATGGTGCTTTACAACATGGATTTAACATGGATATGATCCATTCTTTAAGTGGAGCTCTTTTGCAGCTTACCACAAAGAGCCATGAGTTACATTTAGGGCAGCTGACCTCTGTAACAACTGAGCTCTGTTCAGTTATTCTTCCTTTTAGGTCTTTCTTCAAACAGCCAGCACGAGCACCAGCATCAACAGTAGAATAGAGTTTGCTTACTACAATAACTCCTCCTGTACATCTGAGTTTTTGCTGATCCCTTCTTACAGTAATGAGATGAGGACAAGACCCACAGTTCTCCTTCTGTGTAAAAGGATATTCCTGTGATCTGATAGCTGAGACAGCTGTAGCCTTATGTCACACTTACATACATTTTTGAATAAAACAATGGCTGTCATTTTTGTCCTTGTGCTTTTAGAGGGGAATATTTCTAATCACAGTACTGAGTTAAAGCAGGCAACTAGGCATCAAAGAAATAATGGCAGATGTAGACAACCTGTTGTGTCACAAAACCAACAGAGTGGTCACTGATGTAAAACAGAATGTCAATCTAGATACTTACTGAGCCACAACTATTAATCATGTAGTCATTATGTCACAGGTTGGTGGCATCACAGCTCACACAAATGGCATTTCAGCATTTCTGAGGTGAATTCAAAAGTTTCACCAGTTTAATCTGATAAATAATATAATTATGACTGTTTAAAGCAATAAGCTTTATTGGGGTCATTGTTATTGTCAGCAAAAACAAAGCAAAGGACAGAGAAGATGGACTGAAATGTGACAAAATCCTTACCATTGTTTTTCTCACTGTCAGCTGGCTTCATCTGGATTGGATGGTGCATCTAAGTCAGGCAACAAATAACACATTAATGCAAAAATAAACAACAACAACAACAACAATAATAATAAAAATAGAATTAAACATTTCATGGAAATCCTGGAGTTTTTCCTTTTTATTATTATTGATTAACCATCAGCTGATGCAAAATGGCTTTTTAAACAATTAATCCACCAAAAATATCAACACATAGAATTATTTCCTTTAGAAGCTAGTACTGCCCTCCAGCAGGAACAACTTCTTTAAAGTGATTTGTAGAATTGTCAGTCACTGACATTAGCTTGCCAAGTTTTTGTTTTTAAATGGACTTTTTATTGTATGTTTTATAACATATACAACCTGGGAGAGATGCATACACAGTTCCACAGTTGTCATGTATGTTCTGAACATTTTGATGAAAAGAAGCTCGTCTTCGTCTTTTCATCATACATAAACAGCAGCACATGTCCATGCCTTATCACTCATACAAATAATGAGTTACCAATTTAATGACTTAGTATTTGTCATATTTTGTGGCTCCTACTTTAGAAATAATGGAGAAAACAATTGCACCAGAAATACAGACACAAAAATAAAAATGATGCCAGAATTAAAGTAACAGAAAACAAAGACAGAAATATAAAAAAGGGTGACTACAGTTCTTATATTGCCTGTATTAATAGTGATTTTCCAGTAACCTGTCTGTTCTAAACTCTGATCATGCTGTAATTTTCTCCATTGTAACATAAACCATCTTTATTCTGTCTCTCCAATGCATTACGTTGGGAGACTGCGGCTTTAGAAAGGCAACAACAGAATACTCAAAAAAACAATTCAGACCTCTATCCATCATACTCTCAGGAAGTTGTAGGATATCTCTGAGCAGAACTTATTCATGTGAGATGCATTCCAGACTAATCACTTCTAAATGCCAAACACTCCATTAATTAGGTAGGAGACCACTTGAGTTACTCCAAACAGATAACAAAGGCTGGTGTCTACATAGTCCATCTGCTCCTTGCACCAGGCAACAAACAGGATGTAGACTGACAGGAGAAAGAATCAATTAAAGCCCTCTGGGAAGAAGCAGGAGATGGAGCTACTTCCTAAGTAACTGATGAGGGCTTGGCGTGCCACTTCTGAGCTTCCAATTCACAGCAGTCAGTCAGGTCTGTCAGAATGTCTGTGGTTGTATGACAGTTTTTGTCCTGGAAAACTTTTTTTAATTAAACAGACTGATCTAATAAGATTGATTCCCTAACAAAATGGCTTTTTAGCTTCTTTCTTTTTAATACACTGATTCTCAGTTTTTTTTAAATTGGGACTTTGCACAAGAGATGATGATTCAGGTAACAAATTAATCACAGTGATCATAAAGGGCAATACAGGACACATATTACTCTGTCGCTCTCTACCTGTGTTTCCTTGAGCTGCTGCAGGCTTTACATCTAATCTGATGCAATTCATCATTTGGGTCAGACTTGTGCCATGCCAAGTAAGACTTGCACTTTTAATGTAAATGACGAAGATGTTATTTTAGATGGTCTCATGCAGCGCTTACTAGAGCACTGAAGCAATATCAGCATGCACTGTTATTATGCTATGCTAAATAACGTGGAGGTCAACTGAGCATAAAATTCCTTAAGATCAACCCATAACAGAATGTCCAGGGACAGCCTCTGAACTTGAGCTAACCCTGAGTTACTAGTTTTAATCTTAAAAGAAACATACCAGCCTAGAACAAGAGACCACAAATAAGATTTTCTGCAGCTTGGAGTATGTATTTATAGGCCACTATTCACTATCATTAAATATTTGAAAAGTTACCACAGCAACACTCTTTGGACCATTTGCATGAAATTTGATTGGTGAATCAGGAATTTATTCTGCATATGCAGCAGGCAGTTTCATTCAGTGTGGCAGAATAAATAAAAAGCTTGATGAGTCCTGACAAGGACAAGAAAACTAATTGCTGTGTGCTACTCTGAGTTAATACATGATACTGGTACTAAAAGCCAGTTCTGCAAGTGTCAGGAGTTAAAATTATAGGACATGACATATACCAGAAAATATATATATTGCATATGGATACAGTATTTCATTTTATTTGCATGTGTAATCTACAGTTAGTGAGTTATGAACCACAACCTTTTTTTACCATGCTCTAACACAGATGGTGTTTTGACAAAGGTCAAGAGATCTGGTTGCTGAGTGAGCGTCCCTGTTCAGGTTAAACTTTGATGGTCTGCTTATGTTTACACCAAAAGTGAACCAAGCTGCAACCCACCTTTGGTACTGCTTTTAATGGCCAAATGCAGAAAAGCAGTTCAAGGCTTGCCTATGAACCAGCATGCATTGAAAAGTCATATTAAGGAGATTGTCACCTACCCCTGGCAGAATCTTCATGTTGTGCAGAGCATTCTGTGCTTCTAAGGCTGATTTGCGTGTATAGTACGTTATAAAACAGCAGCCTGCCGGGAATAAAAACAGACAGAAAATTGTTACACAGCTGACTTAATTACTAGATTTGGTGTATTAGATTACTTGTCTTTTTTATTGTAAGACAGAAGACAATACATAAACAAGACAACACAAGGAAACAAAACAGTGAGTACAGGACACTGTCTGATGTTGGTTTGGTGTTGGTAACATTCAGGTGCATGTTGTCTTCTACTGGCATTGTGTTGACCAGAATAGACAGATATTGGCACCATTAGAAAGTTCCAAGCACCAAATGAAGACCCTGTAGTATGTAAAGGAAATATTAAGGGTAAAACCAAACCAAACACAGTGAGACCTGCAGCAAACCCTATTGTTTTTTATTCAGATTTGGGATTATCAGGGGGCCAAGCAGTGAAACCTGACACAACCCTTTATTTTGTGCTGTACGTAAGGGTCCAAGCAGCAGACCTGCTGCAATCCTGTTGTTTTTGTTCAAAAGTTTATTAGGGGACCAAGTAATGAAAAGTGCAAAGCAAGGTGATACTTTAGTGGAATGTAATAGGGTCTGAGAATTTTTTACACAAAGAAGGACCCTTTTTTAGGGTCGTTCCTGCCTCAGAATGGGCCTTTAAAAGGCGACTGTGCTGGACAGGTCCTCGTAAAGTAAAGGCAGTGAGTTTTGCAATATGCCGCTGTGGGTGGATGTGGACTTGCATGGGGCTGCTTGAACTGTGCAGCTTGCAATTCTAGTAATTGTTATTATTTTTATTATTGTTAATATTACTACATTGGTAAAAGCAGATCTTGGGACAAAACTGTAGGCACCACAAAAGTGTAATTTTAAGAAAACAATATGGCTCAAAAATATTGTGAAAAAATGGCTCACATCAACCACAAGGGAGCACTACAATAAATGTAAACAGGTTTTTTTGAATGACTCCAGAAGCATACTGTACATCACACAGTCAAGTGCTCTGCATCAGTGTGTTGCTTAGATGGAGCTGCATCTACTAATATGGGTCACACCCATTCCTGCCAATTTCTTTTTTTAATTCACAAAGTCAAAGAATATTGCAAAACCCACTTTTTCAAAGTTATCAGTGTTTTTTTTTTTTTTTTTTGCACTCAAGAGTGGCAAGACTGATGTCAAATAGTTCAACTTATTTGTTCATAATTATTCAGCAAATTTCTGTTTTTGTATATCGATTGCTCAAAACATCTTTGTTTTGTGATACTTGACTGGTATTTTGGAAAAACACTGTAAGTTCACCAGACAACCTGCAAATTACATGAGATTTTACACAGTTGTCAAGAGGGAGTTAAAATTTGTTGCAAATGCATGCTGGGGCCACTTTTTTAAATAGCGACTTTTAGCCATGTTCAAACTTTCCAATATATGCTATAAAATGCACATCCAGTCCAAGTTTTCTTCACAAATAAAGACCTATATCATCCTAAGAAGATTAAACACTACAACTTAGCCAGCCAACCTCCAAGAAAAACCCTATATCTCATACATCTGTTCTTTTACATATGAAGTACATGGTTCAGAGCCAGGATATCTAATCTGATGCAAATTTACCAAACTATGGAGCTGTATTGAATTTTTTCAGATACATTCTTAAAATATTATTTCATTCCAGTTGTGGTCTCAAGGCTCCCTCTGGTGAGCTCAACTGGTAAGTCACGGATGTCAAATCAGGACCTCCCCTTTTTTTGTTGTTGTTGGAGGTGTGTGTGTGTGTGTGTGTGTGTGTGTGTGTGTGTGTGTGTGTGTTGCACACTGACCTTTGCTCTGTGGTGGATTTTGGCTGCGGTCTCGGAGGACATTAATCTCATAGACTGCTCCATAAGGCTCAAACAGCTCACGAAGCTGCTCCTCTGACCAGGACCGTGGAATCTGGCCCACAAACATCTTAATGGCATCAACATCTGGTTGGTCGGGGTGGTCCAGAGACCCGTTCATCTTCTTCCCACTACAAAGATAAAAGTGATATGTAGGAAAAAAGGCTTGTTCTGATCATGTTCGAGTTTCTTTATGATGCTGATTATGTGTGTAGCACAACAATCACATATTCTATAGAATAATACTGGGAATAAGGACACGTCACAATAAAGCAAGCATTTTTAAAGCACTTCCACAAGCAGGAGAAACTGGGGTCTACTGCTTTTTGTTTGGTTTGTTGTACACACACAGTAGCAATATGCTGAGTCAGAAACATAAATTGCCATTATAACAACAAAACAAGGTTTCTGAAGCCCATTTAAATAGCTGCAATATTTTAGAGCACACTTCTCTAGCACACTCCAGTAAGTCCAGCCTTATATGACTGCTGTTGCATTATGTCACGCTATCACCTCCTCATGTCACCTCTGACTCCTCAGCAGTTCATCAGCTAACAGTGAAACCAGTGAAAGACTGCTGATCTTTTTCTTGTTTCTAAATTCCTGTTTCTACCTTTTATAGTTTTAACTAGCATGGCTAATAGACACAGTCTGTTACCGGTACAAGTATTTCACACTGAAAACACTTCTTTTTTGTTCATTTGCACACTTGTGTTGTAAAGTTGTTTATGACAGGACATGCAGACATCTGGTAATGTAAATATTAAACTCTGACAGAAATCAAAAAAGATAATTAAAACCCAAACACTGAAAGACCTGCCATCCAACAAAGCACACATAGTTGAAACCCTTACTGGGATAACACCAGTAATCTTAAATCCCCTCAACTGATCTGCACTTTACTCCCAGACACACCCAAAAATATAACTTTTAGTATATTTTAGTTTTTTCTCTTTCGAAGATTACAAAGCTACATTATGACAGCAAAAGAAGTGAGTTTATCCCTGTGACATATCACTTAAATGTCAAATGATTCAGGATGGTATCACCTCTCGATACTGGCATTTCTAAGTTGACAAGTAGAACACTTTCTCTTATGAACAATCAAAAACCAAAACACTGGAAAGACTATTTTGAAGAAACTCAGTGCAACAAAAGTGAATACACCTGTGATCACTCACTCACAGGTTACAAGACTTGTGACCGCTAAAAACAAAAGTGAGTCATTTTCAATTAGCTTAACTACGTGAACATGATTATAAAATGACCTGTAAACACCACATATCTGTCATGGCCTCACAAGGAAAAGAATTGCCAGAGGAACTGAAAAATCTGATTGTTAGGCTTCACATAGATTGAAAAGGATACAGGAAGATTGACAACTAAAAATCAGTTCAAACACAGTTGCAGCTGTAATCAGAAGGTACGCAACATGTCGTACACTAATCAGAGCTGCATCCTAAAGGGATGACATGGGCAGCCCACTTGTCCTATCTAGCTTGACACAAGTTTCTGTGACAAATCACACAGGGCAAAAGACACTTCAGAACAAAACTGCAAAATGAAACATTGCTAACGATATGAAGAGAAGCCTGATGAATATTGGGAGCACATTATTTGGTCAGACGAGACCCCAGTGAATTAGTTCAGCTCAATTGGGGTCCAGCATGTTTGGTGTGAACTTGGCCAGGACCACCACAGTGAATGCATAGTCCTGACAGTGAAGCATGGAGGTGGGAGTGTAATGATATGAGGCTGCATAAGTGCAGAAGGTGTTGGGGAGATATTTATAGATGGCACCATTAATGCTTGTAGATATACTTAAATACTGGCTGACAAGATGACTCACAGTCTGCAAGAGCTTGTCAGAGGAGGAACATTCCTGCATCGTAATAGTCCTAAGCACAAGGAAAAAAAATGCACAAGTTTCTATGGAGGAAAAAATATAAGAACTATGACCTGGAGAAGTATGTCACCTGAATAAAATCCTATGGAACACCTTTGGGGTATTTTAAAGAGAAAGAAAGAGCAACACAACCCCTCCAGCAAACAGCAGCTAAAAAACTGCTTTGCAAGAATGGCAGAACATCTACTGTTCTCCATACCATGGAGAATGGCACCAAAAATAAAAGAATAGAATAAAATAGAATAAAACTTTATTGATCCCTTTGGTGTAAACCTCAGGGAAATTGTTGTACTGGAAAAACAACACAACACCAACACAACATCAGCAACAACAGTAACAGTAAAGTAAGTAAAGTAAATAAGTAAAAGTGGTCATTTGAAGTATTGAGAAAAAAAAAGACTTATATCTCAGTAATGGACACTGAGTAATTTGCATCGATTTGTAATAAGTTCCAAGCGTGGGAAATTTAACCTTTAAGTTTTAAATTTCATATAAGACCAAATAGTATACTGATAAATTAACAATATAATGTAGTAATGTGTACTATAACCCCTGGTCTAGGATTATGTCTGCATACGGTATGTTGCACATGTTTAGAAAGGTTGTTCAACTTGAAGTATTGGTTGAAGAGAACTTATTTTATAAATTGGAAATGTGAAAGTGTAGACTAATGCTATCATCTCAGGCACAGTGACAATGTCCTTTGGTTTAACATTTAAACTCCTGACTATGTCATTACTTTAGATGGTAAAAAAGATAATAACAGCTTAATTATTTACTGCTTCAATCATATTGCACTGCAGTGGACTTGCTGTGAAACACTGACAGTCAGGGAAAACAAGCAGGAGGGAACTGTAAGAAACACAAAGGGAAAGCTGTGTGAAAATGATTGATTATCTAATCGTTACCTTTGGGTATTGAGCAGAGAGCTTTAGCAAAGTAGTTTTAGAACGCATCTTTGAATTTGCATTTCTCTCTCTCCATCTTTGTATATCTAAACTTTTTGAACTTAATTTTTGCACAAATTCAATCTCCGACACTATTATTATATTAGCCTAAATTGTCCATAGGTGTGAATGTGAGTGTGCTTGGTTGTCTGTCTCTAAGTGTAGCCCTGTGATAGACTGGTGACCTGTCTAGGGTGTCCTCTGCCTTCACCCTGAGTCAGCTGGGATAGACTTCAGCCCCCCTGTGACCCTAGTGAGGATTAAGGTAGAAGGATGATGGATGGATGGATGATTATCTGCCACAGTCGTCAGTCTGCTGTGATATGTCAGATGCGAAGGGCATTTGTGTAGATTCTCTCTTGGTCCTTTTGTATTTTGCACCTCTGAACAGGACTGCCATAAAATGCATGTTGCATGCAACAAATGCACAATTTTTGATGGTGCCACTTTTCTTACATCTTCACTGTGTAAAACAAGGAAAAATGGACCAGGATATTTTGACTGTTTAGTACCTAGAAAGGGTCACAAATCAGTTATTTAACCTGGTGTCAACAGAGTGGCCATTTATGATTTATAAAAACTGTGAAGACTTAGATGAGTGGAAAGTTGCATATGACCAAGAATACACCTTATGTAAATTAGTAGCAGGAGGAGTACGTGACACTTTCATTATCTTTAGGATAAGTGCAACAACCACGACAAGGCCAGAGGTCTGAGGTGCATGGACTGTGTGGTTGTCTCCAGGCACGCCTTTGTTTTGGCTCATGTAGTTGCAGTAATGCAAAGTAAAAAAAACACTGACTGAAGCGGAATATAAATCAGAATATGTGGCGATTTCTAAATCTGCTCTAAGTCACTTACATTACGGCTTATTGTTCTGAAGTGATATGATCCATGAGGACATTTCTGAAGAAATATTACGTGTTCTTGACATGACCCCGTTATTCCCCTGACAACACTGATTCACTGCACAGTTATGGCGCCTTGGCTTTTTGGTGCGCACACACACACACACACACACACACACACACACACACACACACCAGCAGGGAACACTGTTGTGCCGTCTAGTGACAAAAGTGTTGAACATTCATTTCAAAGTTAAAATGAACAAAAACATTTTGTGGGTTACATTGTCTTTCAAAATCATTTTCATTTTGAAGTGAACCATCCGGACCATCAGCACTGGATCCCCTCAGGGCTGTGTTCTCTCCCCTCTGCTCTTCTCCCTGTACACAAACAGCTGCACCTCCAGCCACCAGTCTGTCAAACTCCTGAAGTTTGTGGACAATGCGATACTCATTGGGCTCATCTCTGACAGAGATGAGTCTGCCTACAGGAGGAAGACAGAGCAGCTGGTGTCCTCGTGCAGGCTGAACGACCTGGAGCTCAACGCTCTCAAGACAGTGGAGATGATTTCAGACTTCAGGAGGAACACAGCCCCACTCCTCCCCATCACCCTGAGTGACTGCCCAGTGGACCCTGTGGAGTCTTTCCACTTCCTGGGCACCATCATCACCCAGGACCTCAAGTGGGAGCTGAACGTCAGCTCTCTCATCAAAAAAGTACAACAAAGGATGTACTTCTTGCGGCAGCTGAAGAAATTCAGTCTGCCAATGAAGGTGATGGTGCACCTCTACAACTCCATCATCGAGTCCATCCTCACCTCCTTCATCATCATCTGATACGCTGCAGCAACAGCCAAGGACAAGGCCAGACTGCAGCGTATCATCCGCTCGGTCGAGAAGGTGATTGGCTGCAATCTGCCTTCTCTCCAGGACCTGCACGCCTCCAGGACTCTGAGGTGTGCAGGTAAGATTGTGGCCGACCCCTCCCACCCTGGACACAAACTCTTCCAAACACTCTCCTCTGGCAGGAGGCTTCTGTCCATCAGGACCAGCCCCTCACGCCACAAAAACAGTTTCTTTCCGTCTGCCACCGGCCTCATAAACAATGCCCAGGTCCCCCACTGCCACTGCCGCCCCCCCAAATATCTGTATAAATGTAAATAACAACATATCAGCACCCTCAATATTTTGTAAATAACAATACCGTTCTTTGGTTCTTATTTAAATGTTACTTTGATTCTTGCAATAATACAGTTATTTTTATTTTTAGTTACTTTATTTTACTGTATATTTATTATGTACTCTTTTTATTGTTGTTTTTTTTTTCATCAACCCACCAGAACAAATTCCTCGTATTGTGTGAACTACATCTGGCAATAAACCTGTTTCTCATTCTGATTCTGATATAAAAAATATTCAGTGTTCTTCAA